ATTAAAACCTTTTTGTTTTATTTTAGGCCTTCTTCAAAATACCTATGCCACAGCAGTTGATTTTTTTGCCGTAAAACCAAAATAGTTTCATGCATGCCGACCGGTTAGCGCGAGCCCTGACTGAACTCTGCAGAAAATCCACATCGAACTTCGCATCGCGATGTAAAACAAAATGTCGGAAAACTTTTCTTTGACGCATGCGCATTTGCATAAATGTCTACACACATACGCACACACATACTACACACAATAAAAAACAAAAGAAATGTGACAGAGTGATTACAATAGTTACTATTGCATTACATGCATAGGAACTAAAAAATGGGGTAGAAATGAAAATGATATTCAAATTTAAGTGCGAGAGGGCCATTTCCAGCCATCGAGGTGCCATAATCATAAATTTTCTTACCTCAGCTCCAACCATGGTGGGGCTGATGTGGTTTAGACCCTCCATCTATGAAATCACTTTCCCCTACAACCCTTCGACTCCCCTCCCCCTGCAGAACTCCCAAAAATGACTTTTTCCAACTTGGGACCCCTGTTGATGAACATGTTGACTACTTGGACATATACTACTGTGGAAAGGCAATGCAAGATGTCAAAAAACGGTTTAGCCGTGTTGCTATAGAGCATACAAGAAACGACAATAGCACTTTTGAGACTAACTGTAAAAATTTATTAGCGTTCATCCACGTAGTAGACTTCATCATAAGACTGTACAAATGGGATAAGTAACATTTATAATATATATTAGAGATAGAGAGGAGGGGGAGAGGGGAGGTACTACAACAACAAAGTAAGCAAATGTGGTAGATAAAGCATCCAGTCTGCAGAAAGTAAGACAGAATGTAAATGTTTTTTTTTTTACATTGATCTTCTGTCTACAGGGCTACTTAGGGGCGCAAACATTTTTTAGGGACGTGCACCCCCAGCCCCTCATAGATACGCCACTGTTAGTTGAAAATCTTGACCCTATGGAATTAATACATTGCACAACTGTCTGGCAATGTATTACCTAATTTATATTTAGGGGCAAATGCTCATCAATCTCGTCGGTGGGGGCCGCCACTGCCGTCTTTGTGACATCAATATGCTGATACTCACAGGGCTCATTGTTTATAATTTCTGATCTACTGTATCTAAAAGACAGGCACTGCAATTAACCAAAAAACTCAATGCTGTCCATGGTTGAAGTAGCCATCACCAGTTTAGCCAACTACGATTACTGTTCTGAATCTGACAATGTCAATGACCTGACCTTGAGGAGAAACCCCTTTAACAAACTGAAAACAGATTGCTTTCTATACCTTGTGATGAAATGATATAAAGTCAAGTCGAACCCCAGTTTCTCCCGTGAAGTAATTTGTACCAGTATCGCAGTGATCTAGCAAACCCCAACAGATCTTTGAGTACGAGGCCTCGCGACAGCCAGCCCCTGGTCCACCAAATATCAACGATGGGTCTGCAGCATTTAATCCTTCAGAACAAGCATCATAATAATTCATAAATCCTGGAAAAATAGAAGATTAATCAACAAACATTGAAAATTATAAATAATGATAATATTAACAGATATTTTAAATCATAATTAATACAGTAATAATAATATAATTATTAACATAGACAAGTAATGATGGTAATTCATTTAATCAATACTTAAAAAACTTCAACATTCTAATGCAATACATAAGTATTGTTAGAAAGTAATGTTGAAAGTGTAAAAACAAGCTTGCATATTAGAGGGCAGTATTCCATTTAAATGTATTCCAAGCAAAAAATGTTGCTGCTTGGGACAAACTGGTGGTTATATCCATTCAAATGGTTACATTATGACCAATATATTCTACATAGCACATTTTGTTTGATAATACTTATAAAATATCATTGACAAAATTCAAGAATAATATAAATAATCAATAATTAATTTGGACGTAAAACAAGCCCGGCACAATTGTTAGTAGAATTAAATAATAGTTATTAAAGTGGAAGATATTGTCCCCCAGGGTTCAGATTAATTTAGCACAAGCCTTACCAAGAAGATTATATTCATTTAATTATTGACTGTATTCAATTCCATATTTTTTATTCAATCTCAAATGGCAGCATTAATGCTGAATCACATGAGAATACATTAAAACTCGGAAATACAAAACCGAAAAACACATAAAACAGCACAAAGAGATTACATAATTGAGAACATTAAAATTAAGATTAAGATTATCAAATTTACTTTTACAAAAAAACTGTTGTATGCCCATATATAGTCATGATATGCCTGTATATGGTCATGATGTGATGTCATCATGACCATATTTAGGCATATTTCCTTGATAAATAAAGTTTGATAGTCTGGACAGGGCTTAAAAACTTCTAGAGGATCCGGGGGGACAAGTGGGCAAAGTGCGGCCCAACAGCAAATTTTTTTTTTTATCGAACCTATGTGCATGGCTCGCCTACCATCTTTTGGCTATAAAATCCCTTGATTTTATTGCATAAAGCATGAGAAAGCAGTGCATGAAGATTAAAAGGTCTCTTTGACCCTCTGACCCATTTGTATGTCAATCCCTTAAAATTTAAGTCTTCTTGCTTGATTAGCCAGAAATTCCGAAACAATGAATTTACAAATAATAAACAGCAAAATACATTTCCAAGCTATTCCAAGTTTAAATATAATATATGCATGAAGCTAAAGTACAGCTGTGAAATGTGAGAAATGAATCAAGATAAATTTCAGTAATATTTATCAGTCTTTTGCAAGTGTACTTTTGATTCATCTTCAGACAGTATTATGAAGCTGTCTGACAACAAATATTGGATAAGCATAATATTAAGCACAAACGACTACCATTATGGGATATAATTCTCTATTGACACCTAAGGACAGACAATTTTATGATTGCGAAAAATGACAAAATAATCTGAATCTAAGGTTGTTACATTAGCTCTCAATATCTAGGGCAATAATCTAGAAATCAGTGCCAACAGGATGTCACGCCACAAAATTGGCAAATATAGTTCACAAGATTAAGGTATCACTATACTCCCTATTAATGTCGTTAATGTACAGAATATCAACTCAACGGTTTCCAAACACGCACAAAATTATCACATAAGCTCTTCATATCTCCTTGTTTAAATTATTATATTGTTCATTGAGAGTGAAACAGCAAATAATAGAAATACACATACTCATTTATTGAATTTGTAGAACAAAATTTCCTTTTTATAATACTTAATGCGATACATAAAGGCACTATATAAATATGGTTTTATTATTATTATTATTATTATTATTATTATTATTATATTATTATTATTATTATCTGTTCAATATTGTACAAAGAATTGAACATAACTGTTGCAATTCCTTTATCTTGCATCATATATATGAGCATCATAAAGTTACTTTGAAACAGATGGTTAGTTAGATGGCCGAGCAGATAAGGCAGGGGCGCTGAAACATACAGCTATAATATCAGTGTTCATTCAAACAGCATACTTGCCTATGGTTCTGTTGGGGGAACAAGACTTCTTGGGTAAGGATCACTATAAACTGTAGGCCCAGTGTACACAATTTAGCTCTCTGCACATTAAACAACTCAGTAAACCTCTCAAGACGAGTAGGGGTTTACCCCGGTGTACTGGTCCATTCACCCTTTCGGTATAAAGCACTACAGGTATATAAATCTAACTACATTACATTTGTTCACCAAGTGTTTTTTAAACTGGTACTGTTATAGGCATTTATAATGTGCCTCTTGCTTGAGGTTATAAAGCGCAGTTCATTTCCCTGGTCGTTGGGTCCATATACTTTAAGTGTTGCTGTTGGTAATCAGCACAGAAGCAAGCAACCCCACCAGGTACCCATTTATACTTCTGGGTGGAGAGAAGCAATGCAGATAAAAAGTGCCTTGCTCAAGGACACAAGCAAAATTAACAGTGACATATTGAAACTCCGACCTCGAGGTTGGGAAAGCGAACGGTTCCCACTGTGCCAACCGTTTCCATAAACACATACCTAGAAACAAGTTCAGCACAGTTCAATGAAATGAAAAACAATTTATTCCTCCAAGTTTGATCAACAGATTATAAGATGCAGATTATGTACAATAACGTTTATTTTATGAATCTCCAAGTATAAATAATGACGGTCTTCCATTTATTAGTAGAAGAATTAATCTTCTTTATGATCGTACTTTGCATCTCAGAGAAGACTCTCATATAGCCAAATGTCAAAGGTTATCCTACTTAGAGTTATTTAAATTTCTGGTGGTTGCAAAACGTGAGTGATAAACAAGTTATATGTAGAGAAAGTACAAGTTGGCATCATTTCACTTATGAGCCAGTTTTTGTTGTAATTACTAAAGATCTACAGTATGTTTACATTTGGTATTATTATATCTCAAAATAAATATATTTATATTTTCCTCAGTCATATAAAGCATATAATACGGAGCTTTGTGACGTCATTAAAAGTCATCTGCGCATGCGGGAATGTTAAGTTCTCCTCATCGCATGGATTCTAGGACGCAATTTGGCCAAATTTAGAATGCAGATTACATAGTATGCTTTCTACTAGTCCAATAACATGACTGGTATAAATTACCACAATGCATTCTTTATACAGTGCAATGGAATCTGAAGCGAGGGCCTAAGTGTGAACTCAATTTTTACCTCAGTAGTTAACATTTGTTTTATTCATCAATAAAATGTAATTTATATTTGTTTAAAATATTCTGGATTAGCCCCTGAATTTCATGCAACAAATTCTTGTGAAAAGAAAGTATAATACATACTCCAAGTATTAAAAAATGCACGCCATCGTGTTGGGATTCAATATTTCGACATCAATTATGTCATAATGGGGAATGATGATCTGCTCATGATTTGCACAATTATGTCATATATCCATATATGGACACATATATCCATATATGGACACATATCCATATAATTATAGACACATCTGATAGTGTGAATTAAGCTTTATTTAGAAAATGAAATAAAACATAATTTTACCTTGATATGTTATATTCAGACCATCAAAATCCTTATGGTCCGGCTCATTCCAAGTCTCAAAATTCCACTTTTGTACGTACTTTAGGCCATAGATATCTGTGATTTGCATAGAGATGACAGATTAAATACGCACCAAGTGATACAAGATGCAATGCTTTTGTTAACTGGTACTCAAATGTATCAATTTATAAAATTAGTTAAACTATCAACTAATTGAGCAAATGCAATTATGATTAAAATGATTGTAATGGATTATTATGAGGCTTGCCATCCCAAAAACAGCATCAATTTTGGCTTTTTACATATTCTTGTTCTCGACATTTTAAAGATTTAATGATGGGTCATTCAGGCCCCCTACTAGTTAGAATCAACTGCTGCCAAAGTTAAGAGTAAAAGTAGGGCTTTTCTGTACTAAAGTATACTATACAATAATGCCACATTCTTAAATTAAGAAAGTATACAGTAATACAGTATTTAAATGCAGATCATTGTGTTGGGATTCAATATTACAACATTATCTCATCATCAGGAATAAACTACTGTAATTACTAAGTTTAACAATTAGCAAAAGTAAGCTGGCTTTGGAATGGTAAGCCTCATACGATACATCTATTAGACACTGTCAGTCTATCTAAGTTCCTATCATTGGTATTATGATTACAATCATCATTTTTAAAAAGGAATATTAATGTAAAAACATTGGTAATGCTGTTGTGTCAATATTTGTGTGCTTCTATGCCTTTGTAAATCCAGGAAAATATATTTTGTGCCTCCGATCATGAAAATTGTCTTTATTATGAAATGTTATATAGGTGCAATATAACAGAGCAATGACTGGAACAATAAGGAACAATAATGTAATTATTTATTTCTACAGTAACTTTTAATTAATCATGCAACTATTTCAATTATTATTTTATATTTACTTATTTGCTTATATATATTTTTCTTTTATTTTTATTTAGGAGAGCATGAGTTAAGGCATTTATTATTCATTTGCCTATTTTGCTTACCCCTTTTTCGTTTTCATTGATTTGTTTAATTTAATTAACATAACATAATTATTTCGACTGTACGTTATAATACATAAGTTATTTTTCTTTAATTGTATGTTGAGTTTATTTTGAAATAAATGATTAAAATAAAAAACAAGTTCCCTTAATCTCAAAAGCTTTGATGAGGGCAGTATAATAGTGGCAGTAGAGTATATTTACCCTAATAGCTGCCCATACAAAAAATATCTATTAATTAATCAACCAGCAGGGTACTCTTAGGAGCTAAAAAAAACCCTGACCTACATATTTTTCAGCCTTGGCTTGTGTACATATGAAAGAACTCAGTAGGGGATTATCTTCAATTGTACAGACTATAAATAATTAAAACCAATAAAGGCTCCGGTGATCTGCACTTTACACACAAATGCAATTAAATAACAATAATGATAACTTATTGCCATGTCATTCTCCAACCTACATCTTGCATCGCTCATTTACATCAACATCAATGTGATAAATATGAAATTGATAATGCTAACGTTTGTTTACACTACAGTAATGAGATTGATCTCCTACGCAACACCGATCATTTCAGACCTCCGGTGCCTGACAACCACGCCTGTTTATGCCGCCTGAGGAAATGTTTGCCAGGATGAATATTTATGTCCTTGAGATTAAAAGACAGGTTCATGACAAACAAGATTGCCACAGAGGCACAGTTTCTTGTAATTTGAATGACAAAAGGAATGTTCAATCACTATTTCACTTAGTATTAATTACATAAAGCTACATGAGTACCAATTATTAGTAATGATGTATTTAAAGTTACTGTAGTGTAGTGGAGTAGTTCTCAACCTTAGACTGAGTATCATTTTGAAGTTCTTAAGAATGCTGTAGCAAATAGGGTCATTCAACCTCAGATTTGGACCAACGAAGTTCAAACTTGAGATATGTTGATATGAATGATTGGGGAATGTTTGATAAAAATGTGAAGTGAATCTGAGACAAAAGTATGTGGGCACCCCAAATTTTGGTTGATTTGAGTTGGAATGACCATAAATTCAAGGTCTTTGAGTGTATATTTATTAGATTATTGGAATAAATTCCTGTGTATAAAAATTACTGTCATAATGCTAAAACCAGAGATTTGCATTTAGGTTGTGCTGAATATCAACACTAATAAGACCAACAAATTTTTTTTATTGTGTCCATGGCCACGTTTAGGGAAAATCCGAAAAATAGATAGGTCGGGAGGAAAACTTTTTTTTTTCCAACCAAATATGTGCATACGCCTAAAAAGTAGAAAATACACAAATAATACAATTATGGATTCTTATCGCATACCCCCTAGCAAAATAGGCTAGCCTTAGCCCCACTAGCCTCGCTAAGGCTTTTCCAGCCTTATTTGCGCATAAAAAATATTGTTCACCATAAAAAAAAAAATTAATAAATAAAATGCTGACCCTTAATTTTGTAAAATTTGGGTTGGTCAGGCGTGGCCAACACAAATAAATTGTTTTTATGCCTATTTGCAGCATCTATCTCTGGATGTTCAGCATACTCATGCTTACCCAGAGTATCGGTTTAGACTAGTAGACTTGCTGAATGTCTGAAAGAAAAGCCCTGATCACTTGACAAAACCAATGAGCCTAAATATGCAATTTTTTTTCTTGCCACTAACTATGCCACAAAACTCTCTAGCAGTAAAAAAATGTCTAATCTATATGTGGAAAAGACAAGCAAAATCAGTCACTCGTCACAAAAATCGATTTTGAGTTATTAATACAGTGTTAGAGAGCAAAATATTAGCTATCAAATGGTAAAAAAAATCATTCAAATCGGACATTTCCTTATAAAGTTACAAGCGTTTAAAGTACAATATATGAGAAATTAACCGTCAAAGTTTATGATTTCAGGCATTTCTCATGCAGAAACTATCTTTAAATCCTTAAAAAGTATTGTTTTAACATTGAAAATAGGGAAAATAACAGCAT